CCAGGGGTCTGTGGCAACAACGTTGGTCAACTCTGCTCAGTAACAAACTTCATTCTATTAAACCGAACATAGGTTACTGGCCGTCTTCTTGTCATCAGTGCCGAGGTTGGGAGACCACTCTCTCCCGCCTTCGCATTGGTCACACTCGTCTTACTCATGGGTATCTCATGGAGAGGCACCTTGTTCCTCTCTGTGAGCAGTGTCAAGTTCCAGTATCGATTAGCCACATTCTGTTAGACTGCCCTCTCTATCAACGAGCACGCAGAATTTACCTCCAACGTCGTATTCGTTCTACTACTCTCTTTACCTTCCCTTCTTGCTGATGGACCCTCCTTTTATCCTGACTCTCTCATTGACTTCCTTGACAACGACTGATTTACTCCACAAACTCTGATGATACTTTTCGCACTCCCCTCAGCCCTTTCTAGTTCAGTCTCTTGCTGCCCTTTACCCTTTCACCATCCACTGCCCCGCTGTTATCCGTAACCTATTACTCATCCATCTCCCTTTTGCCACCTGATGCCCTCGCTTCCTTCCTGCCCTGCAGCGCTGTATAGTCCTTGTGGCTTAGCGCTTCTTTTTGATTATAATAATAATTTATCAGTGCTATTAAGCACGTAAATTAGAAAAGAGAGATGAGTCAGTCCAAAACAGGGGTTACACCAAGGCTTCCGGTCTGGCTTGATTAAAATAACTTAATTACTGATAATTACCCTCGTTCTTAGCATGCTTTAATCACCTCACCCTGATTTTACCCTTCATTACTTTTCCCTTCTCTCAAGCAGTTTTCCTCTCATGTCAACCAATATAGTAAATACAGAGAAAATGAAGTTCGCTTGTGGGAACGTTAGCATATATCCTTATACCTGCTGCACCGGTGTACCTAGCAGCAGTAAGTAGGTAGGTGAGTCTTAGGTGACTGTTATAGGTCGCATCCTTGAGGAGAGGAGTAACGTCAGTGGACATAACCAAAACCGAATGATGATATTTTATTGGGTTATCGTGGGTTACCAACCCTCTGGGTTAATAATCCGAGCACAATCTTCGACACTGTGGAAAGTAATACCTCGTGGATATTCCTCGTGTTCATCTCAACTTCTATATAAACTCAATAAAAATAAAAGGGCTAAAAATGTGTAACAAATTACTACATGGTGTGCTGATTTATTTTCCCGAAAGCTGTTTCCAATGTTATTCCTTAAATTACCATTAAACTCTTGCATCCAAGTTACAAATTATAACAGGTTCTTAAATTTCTAAATTTAATCATGTCCAAAATATTATTATATCATTACTTTCTTATTTGCTTTTTAATCATCTGGAAATTAAGCTTTAATTAAACATTAAATTTTAATTTAATATATTTCACTAAATGATCAATTTTCACTAAAATCTGCATTAAAGTATCTTGTAAATTTATATTTTAGTGTATACATTTTCACATGTTGCACAAGTGTCTCATTTTTCAACTTGTCGGTTTTCAAAACTGTTTTCATTACACCTGTCAGACACTGTAACATCTTGGGATGTTACCAATGGTGACTCCGCCTCCTCCTACTACTACTGTACTACTCTGACTGCATTATTTAAGAAACTTCTCGGCACATATGCTGCACATTTCTCAAGATTGATGTACTGACCCCATCGACTACAGGTTGAGGGACTGATTACTTCATACTCCTCCTCATATTCCTCTGTTATTTTCGCCAGCTAGTGATTGCCGAAACGTTTCCTCAATAAACATTCCTAAATGCTACACAAGTACTTATTCTTCAACTTGTTGGGTTTCAAAACCATTTTCGTCACATTCAACCGGTTAGACACGTCCAAGCAAACCCTAGAGGAAATGGCGAATCACTTCATTGTTGATATTTGAAATTTTGAGAATGTACCCACATTTTGCACCGACTGAATGAATGCACTGTTATTGTATCAGATTGTAGTTTAATGATCATTGTTTTCAGGAGGTAATGACATGATACTTGTTCCCGCAAATTTCCTCTCTCAATTCTTCAGCAGGGAACATTAATACGGGTTCCTATTACAAATTCAGGCCCAAACCCCACAATTTGGCTCAGAAGACACCGAATTATTGGCAGAATTTTCCGCTACAACCAATGCTCACAAATTACAATATGACGTTCCCCCAGCGTCACTCTGCAGCTGCTCAACATCCTCCCCCTCACTCGAAATTTCTCGAAGGGTCCAAATAGCATCACATTTTAATTCATTATTATTATATTTTTCAAATTTAAACATGCTAAAAATTCAAAATTTTCCACATGTATTATCTTGAGATTACAGGTCCATGGGTTTTATTATATACATTACCTATGTGTAGAAATTAAATAGATGAAATGACTAGTATTTTTAAAGATTGTAACTATACGCGTGGGTTAACAAAGATCAAATTGTGATCTGTAATGTTCTTTTCAATCACCACACAGAATGAGTGCGGGCACAATAAACAGCCACTCAGACGGCACAAAGTATATATCAGGATCCATTCCATTTATGTGATTGCCCTTGGCACGTGGGTACCTACACCCGCCAAGGATATCCAATTCACTTTTCTTCACGAGTCTTTGGGCTTTGAAATGCAAATAAGAAATGCAGTCGAAAGCACCTGTGGGATTCGAACTGAGTCTGTAACGTTCCCAGACCACATACTAACCACTGTGCTAGAACCAAGTTCAGGGGAATAGTAATAAGATGTAAGGATTTATGTGGACTATATAGATAATGGAGAAAACAGAACACGAAATATGCCCCAACACTTTACCCTCCTCAAGACTGAGTCCGGGTTCATCTGTTATGAATCATTGAGCCACTATCCATCCTGTGTTTGTTTGAAGAGTGAATTGTGTTCATTCTAAATATGAGAGTGTAAACATGAGAATTATCTGATAAAAATTTGATTAGCTAATTGTGGCGTTTTGTGTGGCTTCGAACTGAGCCTGTGGATTAACTTTAAGCAATATACTAGATCACCATACATGTTATCAACACGGTATATATACCGGGAGGTGCATGTGCTGTGGTTCGTACGTTGGATTGCGTGCAGCCAGCAGTAACAGCCTGGTTGACCAGGCACTGATCCACCATGAGGCCTGGTCACAGACCGGGCCGCGGGGGCGTTGATCCTCGGAACTCTCTCCAGGTAAACTCCAGGTAAAGCATAAGGTTTTCTTGACGTTTGTATACAGGTGAAATACGGCCTTATAACTCATAGGCTTTGAACCAAACTTATTGCTTACATATTCTGTCAGTGGCTACCAAAAGAGAGGTATCAAAGAAATGGGTTAGAACAATGTGCTTTGGTTTCACACGCTGGAATCAGAACCACAGCAGAGGTCTGCACAACAAAACCTGTGGTACTGTATGTTTCTAGTGTGCAGGACAAGAGGATGTGTTGCAGTGTCCTTGTGTGCATGACACCAGTGTGCGTCGCACTGTTCAACTTTTCGGGACCCTAGGATGTATAGCTGTGTTCTGCACAACACAGGATATGTTGCAGCGGTCTAATCTGTGGACACTAGTATACGTATGCTGCCGCGTTCTAGTGTGCAGGACCCTAGGATGTATTGCAATGTTCATCTTTGCAGGACCCCAGGATGTTGCAATGTTCGGCACAACTAACTGTTCTGGTGTGCATGTCACATGTGTTGACCAGTATAGTATATGTTGCAATGTTCTAATGAGCTGGACACATAATGTGTTGCAGTATTCTAGAACCTTATACTTCACGCTTCTAGTAACGTGGACATGGTATGTGTTACGATGTTCTAGAGCCTAGTTTGTACTTCACTTCACGCTTCTAGTAATGTAAGTGTACCTAGAATTGTTTCTCAGATCCACCGCAAGGCCTGATCATGGACCGGGCCGCGGCGGCGTTGACCCCTGGAACACCCTCCAGGTATAAACTTAACATCTCGTTGAAGTAGTGGCATGTAGGTAAGTTTTCCAATGGGGTTGCCCCCAAACACAACACAGACAGATGTGAAAAATTGGTAATCTGAAAGATGTAGATTCCCCGGTATAAGCGCTCAGCCCGGGCCTTTTCCAAGAGGTGGCCCAGCCTTGGCTCCTTATCGTGGGAGTGTCTCAGACCAATGTCTGCCATGGAAGGAGTCACAGGTACCTCCTCATCGTCTGGGACCAGGTGTCCTCAGGCCAAGCCTCAATCCCTGTCCCCACGGGGCTTCGAGGGAGAAGCTAGGCACACTGGGCTACCTGAAACCCCGTCCACACTGGGCTGGAAGGGTGAGGCAGCTGCATAGCAGCAGACGATGTCAGGAGGTGCAAAGGCAGCAAGCTCTACAGGATCTTTTTGGAGCCACACCCCTGCTCTGGACCGAAGCCCGAGCACCGGGGAAGCTAAAAAATGCCTTTTCTGTGTGTTGCTGCTGCTACAACTCATTAGTCCATTGCATGAAAAAAAAATCTGAAAGAGCATGCCTACCCTTACATAGGTGCAACATGTCCTATCTAGAGCATAGCAAAAAACAACCACTGGTGCGTGGTACTAAAAACGGTGTCAAACAGCTAGGAATGTACTAACCAACGTAGTGACCGTAGGTGTACATATTTGACTCATTAGTCCGAGTGATATCCTGTACACTAATACATTGTACAAGTAAGACTATAGTGTTATGCTTAGGTAATTACAGTAAACACATACTCAGTAATCGTTTTTGGCCATGAGAAATTGACATTATCTACACTCAATTATTATTATTATAATCAAGGGGAAGCGCTAAACCCGTAGGATTATACAGCGCCGGGGGAATGTGGAAGGCATTCAGGCTTAATTCGGGGAACTGGAGCACAGATTCAGTTCCCTAAATCAAGAGCCCCTCACCAACTTCAAGGAACCTTCCGTGAGGGGATCTACACTCAAGCCCAAGTAATAGGAAGATATTATATTCGCTGGCCCAGAAGACAAGTGGAGAAAAATAACACATTGGCTGATGTTTGAGAGAGCATCACTTCTGTTACAGGTGTGTACGAGGCTGGATCAGAGGCTGCATGCAGCAGCTGTCAAAGGTGACGTGGAGGAGACTGTTCGAGTCCTGGACACAGGCAGGGTCCACGTCGACTGTGCTGACAGGGTGAGTTAGTCTAGAATTACCTCCCAAGAGTTACCTGAGGTTAAGATCCAGTTTATGGACCTGACTCTTACGACTGACTAACCGTAAATTAATTCTAGATGTATTTTTGAGTATGTGCACTAAATTGGATGAAAGGGCACAATGGAAATATATCACTTTGATTTTTTGGGGGGTTATCCTAGGTAATTTATACTATGATAATTGTACTTATGCGTACCTGTGCCTAAATAAACTAACTTATTAAAGGCATACACTCAAAACATCTTTATTAGATACATTTCGATCATTAGGTCTTGGTCACTTCAGATAAGGTTCCAGGACTGAAACACGTCCACTAAAGATGTGCCAAGTACATGCACTTGTGCCCTTTCATCCATATTTTCGGATCATTATACCGTCTACCACCACTAAGTTGTCTTCTGCTCTGTAGTTGTCCAACCTTTTCATTTTGACCGTTGACACGTTGAAGTACTGTACCTCTTCCTAGCATTTGGAACCTTCTCATTTTGCTGCACGTGTATCTTCCTATCATTCGCCTGTGCCAAAAATTATGACGTATATTTGTCACACCATCTTTCCTCTTCCTTATCCCGTTAGGGAAGGAGCCTAGATGCTGGCGAGTGACTCTTGATCTATGGAAATAAACTTGGATTTTGAAATTAAAGACCCTTTCTTCATTTTCTTGGCTCAAACCTTAGTATAAGCCTCCCATTCCCCATCACTCCTTTTTTTTCATCATGGTCAGATCTCATAAAGTAAAACCACGTCATCCTGTATTGGAAAAAGAATCTCTGAAAAGTGAAGTTTGTCAAGTCCTTTCGTACCATTATTGTTATTATAATAAAAAAGAAGCGCTAAACCACAAGGGCTATACAGCCTTTTGTACCGTAAGAGATATTTTAGATGGTCCCAGACCGTCTGGGATTAGATTTTAGATTTTGCCACCTAAGTGGCTAGTTTATTGTGCACCCCATATCCATCCTGTGGACGGTAGCGCGAGAGCATATGGATACACAAAAGGCCCAGGAACTAGGCCCCAAAGGGTTAACAGGAATACATATGGATTTATATCTACATATCTATAGTTCACTTATCTGTTACAAGCAAATTTAGGAAATTTGCTTAGTATATCTGGTATCTTATTTTCATTAATAAGATATCTTGACATGTCACATAGGTTATTATACTGTCTCTGCATTCTTCAATAAGTGGACAATTAAGCACATAGTGTTCAAGACAGTGACCATATGCCTGATCACATAATTTACATTTAGTTTGATCATCATCTGTGTGTCTCCCAAACTGCCAGAAGTACTTGTAACCAAGCCTAAGTCTGGCCACTACAACATCAGTCAGTGTTCACATTGCAAGTTGCTCCATAAACATACTTATCTACGTTCATAAACCATACCCCCGGCCGGGATTGAACCCGCGGTCATAGAGTCTCAAAACTCCAGCCCGTCGCGCTAGCCACTAGTGGCTAGCGCGACGGGAGTTTTGAGACTCTATGACCGCGGGTTCAATCCCGGCCGGGGGTATGGTTTATTTGCAATCGTGTCATTACGATTTCTTAAGTCATATCTACGTTCATGTTTTCATAGTGGGTTATAGATCTACTCAGGCTTCTAACTGCATTCCTATAGCAATCATTTTCATTATTTACTTCTCTCCTAATATTATTCCTAATGCTAGACACAGTTATACCAAAGTTATATTCTACATTCTCCTTCTGGGTACTCTTCTTGGCTAACATACCAACTTTATCATGAAGGAGTAATCCAATGTGTGATGGGATCCATAGCAATTGTACATTAATTCTTTTGTCCCTAATTTTTGAGTATCTATACCTGGCTTCTCCAATGAGCATGTTGTTGGAGTCATTATATGAGTCAAGAGCCTTCAATGATGACATAGAATCAGTAATGATGATAGAGTCAAGCTCAGTGTCATAGGTTAGCTTTAGCGCCATTAGGATTGCAAACAATTCAGTTTGCAGTGTAGACGCCCAGTTGTTAATTCTTATGCCTAACTCAACAAATTTATTATCGTTTTTAACAAGGGAGGCGGCAACAAGAGCAGATGCAGCCCTGCCAGAAGACTCCTGTTTAGATCCATCAGTGTATATAACTTGTGATAACTTATTACTACCAGCTAGGTGAGAAATTTCTTCTTGAGCAGTTGCTCTAACAAGAGATTTAAGGAAGGGATTACTAGCAATGAGCTTCTTGGGAGGGACTTGCAGGTATGTGATATTAAATGAACACATCTTCCACGGAGGGGTGAAATGCTCTTGTTGCCTACAATGATACAGTTCATGCAGGTTATAAAACGATGTAATTGCACGTTTTCACAATCCATTTAGATCTGTGTGTATTTACTTCTAGACACTTGGTAAGATTCATTGTGACAGTGTCTGGTTCGTTTCTCAACATTCTAATACCGAGTACAGTGTTAATCTCAATAATCCTATCACTGATACTAGAAATACCAAGCTCCTTCCTCATGTTAAGAACTTTTGTAGATCTGGGACAGCCAAGAATAATCCTGAGAGCTTCATTTTGCATTAACTCCAAGGGTCGCTTCATTTTGCATTAACTCCAAGGGTCGCTTCATTTTGCATTAACTCCAAGGGTCGGAGAGAGCATAATCAGTTAAGGACCTAACATAGGCTATGTACATCATTCTTACGATTCTCACATTAGCACCATAGTTGGGGTTGTAGCCAGCAACATTAGCACCATAGTTGGTGTTGTAGCAGCATCATTAGCACCATAGTTGGGGTTGTAGACAGCAACAGCTTTGAGAGCATTTAGCCTAGCTTTGCATTTCTTGTTTAGTTGTGGTATAGTGGATTTGTCAAAGGGTACATCTACACCAAGATATCTGTAAGTTTTAACGTAGCTAATGATTTCACCCTGCAAATAGATGGGTGGGGGATTCAAATTCAAATTCAGAGTTTATTCTCTATAAGGATTACAATGCTGAGTTTACAGAAATTTGGTTATTGTTTGGTTTACATGTAGTAAAATTGTAAATTGGATGCCGTTTGCTTGTTAATATCTTTGTTTTAGAGGAAGATATTATGAGGCCTAGTCGATTACAAATTGCTTGAACTTCATTAAGAATGGTATTCATCTTCTTATGCCCTGTTGTATGGATCATGATATCATCAGCATAGCTTATAGCTATATGTTTAGGTGAGGCAGGTAGAGCATTTAGGAGAGCATTAATCAGAATATTAAATAGCATGGGACTAAGAACTCCTCCCTGCGGTGTACCTAAAGACATTTCTTTAGAATCACTTCTGAAGCCTTGGTAAAGGACAGAGGATACTCTATTTGACAGGTATCCTATTATCCAGCAGAGTAAGCTACCACCAATATTCATTTTGGCTAGTTCATGTAGTATAACGGTTTTGTTCGCAATATCAAATGCAGATTTTAGATCAAGAAAAGTGGTAAAACTAGTAGAGGTGTGTGCAGTGAGAAAGGTGGAAATACAGTTCTGCACACTTTTACCTTTCATGAACCCATAGAGGTAGGGGGAAAGTTGGTGTCTGATTCTGTAGTACAGTCTGTTAAGTATCATTCTTTCAAAAGTTTTACAAAGACAACTAGTTAAGGAGATCGGCCTAAATGTATCAGGCTGTTGCACATGTTAGCCGCTAAAATTAAGTATTACAAGTACCTTAATGGAAATAGGGTCAATTTGGTTATCTTAGGTAACTTACACTTGTTATTATGTAAGACAGTTTTAAACCCAAAATTATATAAAATCGTACCTAAATAAACTTAAGAGACCCCTGAACTATCTGTACACTCGTGTTGATATGAAGCTACAAGTTCTGAAGACATTTCACTCAGTGGAGGTTATAAAGCTTATTTAATTTTACATAATTCGTGCATTCTCAAGGCAGGTTCTCTGACGCCGGTGAGGTGCTCTTGATCCAAGGAAGTGGTACTGCCCACGTGGTACTGCCCACTTCCTTGGATCGAACCTGATTGTTTCCTATTTCACTAGGTTCAGAATGACCCAGCTTGGTTTAACATTCTCATAATAATAATTGCTTAATTTGTAATGGCTCGGTTGGAAGCACACCCACCTCACGTACTGAGTGTTGCTGGTTCGATCTCCTGTATAGGTGGAAACTTTGGGCATGTTTTCTTACACCTGCTGTCCTTGTTCACCTAGTAGTAAATAGGTACCTGGGTATTAGTCGACCTTTGTGGGTTGCATCCTGGGGGGTAGTAGTATACCTTAGATAGAGCTGGGCTTTGAAATGAGCTGAGGTAGGATAATAACTCTTAGCCTATAAAATTAATTTGTCAAAAAAAATGAGCCAACTTTTCATTGCAGGATGGGACGACACCTCTGATACTTGCTGCTGCCAATGGTCATGTTGACTTGGTGAAGGAGCTACTGGAGCAGGGCGCAGAATCTAATGCTACCAGACATGTAAGTTAGCTAGCTACCTTTGAACATAAGGACAGTAGAACACTTCAGTAGCCCTATTGGTTTATGCTAATCAAATCCAATTCACATTCTGCCACATTCACTGCCCAAAGTTCTCGCTTCATTGGCGCTACCTGCGAGTTTATTCCGCTCATCTGCACCTCTATTGCCAAATCAGCACTTCCACTATATCCTTTCTAAATATATATTTCTCCAATCTGAATCCATTGCTGCAAGTCCTGTAAGGGTTAGATATTTTCAGTATGGTATTTATACCCCATTATTCGTTCCTGCTTTCAGTTTGTACACTTTAATCATATCCCCCATAATTCTGTCTTTCCAGAGTGCAAATTCAGTTCCTCAGTCTATCTTGTAACCAGATGTAAACATGTTTACCTGGAGTTTACCTGGAGAGAGTTTCGGGGGTCAACGCCCCCGCGGCCCGGTCTGTGACCAGGCGGCCTGGTGGATCAGCGCCTGATCAACCAGGCTGTTGCTGCTGGCTGCACGCAAACCAACGTACGAGCCACAGCCCGGCTGATCAGGAACTGACTTTAGGTGCTTGTCCAGTGCCAGCTTGAAGACTGCCAGGGGTCTGTTGGTAATCCCCCTTATGTGTGCTGGGAGGCAGTTGAACAGTCTCGGGCCCCTGACACTTATTGTATGGTCTCTTAACGTGCTAGTGACACCCCTGCTTTTCATTGGGGGGATGGTGCATCGTCTGCCAAGTCTTTTGCTTTCGTAGTGAGTGATTTTCGTGTGCAAGTTCGGTACTAGTCCCTCTAGGATTTTCCAGGTGTATATAATCATGTATCTCTCCCTCCTGCGTTCCAGGGAATACAGGTTTAGAAACCTCAAGCGCTCCCAGTAATTGAGGTGTTTTATCTCCGTTATGCGCGCCGTGAAAGTTCTCTGTACATTTTCTAGGTCGGCAATTTCACCTGCCTTGAAAGGTGCTGTTAGAGTGCAGCAATATTCCAGCCTAGATAGAACAAGTGACCTGAAGAGTGTCATCATGGGCTTGGCCTCCCTAGTTTTGAAGGTTCTCATTATCCATCCTGTCATTTTTCTAGCAGATTGTAAATAGTTCTTTACCACTGTATCTTATTTTGCTATCATATCTCTGTAGCCCAGTCCCTGGACCTGTTATGTGCTTGTGTAATCTTTTGACTACCACCCACACAGTGGGTATGGTGAATAATAAAGATATTAAACTCAGTCTGTCCTCACAAGAAGGGTTCTTTGCACTGACACAGCCAGGTGAGTTTACCATTTGCAATATTCACTTCAACAGCTGCCACATGTTAGTTTACTCTTGCACTACACATTCTCCAACAGTTACTATATGTACATTTAAGGATTTCAAATATGTGGGTTTATCGTTTTGCAATACTCTTCCATAAGCAACATACATCACTAATATAGTTATGAGGCAGAAACATGAGCTGTGTAAAATAATTTGTACTCCTTCAGGCTGTTGTGTTTGGCTAGACTTGTAGTAACAGAAATTATACATGCAGATATTTGTTTTAACATTTACGTTACTATCCACATGATTCATATGGGGTGTTTTCTTCTATTTTCTAGCTTTATAATATACCCCATTTTCATACTGTAGGCAGCAAAGTTTTTTTTGATTGAAACCAAGATATAATAGTAAGGAGTTGTGGTAAATTTGATAGTCTCATATAGCACTTTATATTGGAAACCCTTCATTGCTGCTTATACTCCAACAGAACCTCAAATCCCTAAAACCATCTAGTCTCCACTCACCTGAAATAGCAAACTCACATATGCCTGCTGGATGCTCAAGCCTCTGCCACTTAAAACCTCCTTTCACCCTCTTTCCAATCCTTCTAGGTACGACCACTACCCATCCTCCCTTCCACCCTAGATTTATAATAATAATAATAATAATAATAATAATAATAATTTTTATTATGGCATGATACATAGTTGTACAAGGTATTATAGTAGTTAGGTGTACATGTCGAAAGCCCCTTGTATGCAGAGCATTATGGGCAGGCTTAAAATTAACTTAAGACTATCTAAGCTAAAATAGATTTAATGGTAACAGTTACTGTAAACAATTTACAATATCAAGTACAATTGAGTTATTTTAAACAATGAATTTGAACATTTCTGTTTTGAAGCATTATAGTTTTACAATTTTGTAACATCACAGTTAGTAATATAATAAAATGATCAATTTGCTATATGTAGTCGTATAATTTATTAATCAGATCTAATCAGATTAAATCAGTGGTCTGTAGTGCAGTAACAGTTCATATGGTCATTAGATGAGTTACAGTGCATTAAAGAGAATGGATTATTCTATTAGGTAATGTTATGAAAACATAGTTTGACAAAGTTTCTCTAATTATACAACTGGGTTATATACATTTATGAGATATAAGTTAATAAATATTTGCATTAGGTTAGATATGAGAATTTATTGATCTGTGAGTATTTAATTATGAGGTCTTAAGGCTAGGGGAGTAACACAGTGAATAATGATATTTTGAGGCAGTAGAAAGTGATTTGTTAACTATGTAGGTAAAGTTAAATTAAATACTGTGTAATTAGTTTTGGGTGAGTAGGTGGTTTTTAAGAAGAGTCTTGAATTGATATACAGACAATGTTTCTTTGGTAATCACTGGTAATAAATTCCAGATTTTTGGGCCTTTTATGTGCATTGAGTTTTTACATAGTGTGAGATGGACACGGGGAACATCAAAGAGTGATCTATGTCTTGTGTTATGGTCGTGTGTTCTGTTTAGGTTGGTAAGGAGAAGTTTGAGGGGAGGGTTTATATCCAAGTTTAATGTTCTGTGTATGTAGTAGGCACAATAATAAGTATGGATGTTTTGTATGGTGAATAATTTTAGATTTTTGAATATAGGTGGAGTGTGCGGTTTGGATTGGGAATTTGTTATTCTGACTGCAGCCTTTTGCTGGGTAATTAATGGCCAATGGTCTGAGATGATTTATTGTTGTTGAGCCCCATGCACAGATTCCATAGGTGAGATAGGGGTAAATAAGTGAATGATACAGGGCAAGGAGAGCTGATTGTGGAACATAGTACCTTATCTTCGATAGTATGCCTATGGTCTTGGAGACTTTCTTGAAAAGTTGTTGTACATGTGTCTGAAATTTGAGGCTGTTATCAAGGTGGATTCCTAAGAATTTTCCCTCTGTGAGTTTTGTGATAGGTGATCCGTTTATCATTATGTTAAGGGGAACATTTGTAGCTCTGTTCCCAAACTGAATGAAATAGGTTTTGTCATATTGAGAGTAAGCTTGTTAATCATCATCCAGGTAGATATTTTTTGTAATTCAATGTTTAGAGTATTGGCTAGTATGACTGGGCTTGGGTGAGAGCAGATGTATGTAGTGTCATCTGCAAATAGTATGGGTTTGAGTAGTTGAGATGCATTTGGTAGGTTTTTTATGTAAATGAGAAAGAGAAGTGGGCCATGGACACTTCCCTGTGGGACACCTTCTTGATTATCCTATTCTCTTCTACCCTCTCTAAATTCCCAAATCACCTCAACAACCTCTTCTTAACTCTGAAAAATGCCCTTCTTGACCCCATGCCATTTTCTAATTTCTGCATTCCCAGTTCCTTCCTGCTGCAAAGTTTTAAGCCCATACCTCATAGCCATATAAAAGAGTTAGTACCACAATACTCTGGGACATTCCTCTCTTTTGCCTCTATAAATAAAAACTTTTTTTCAACATATGCCTCTGCACTCCACCTATCTTTTTTCCTTCATCTTTTCTGTGGTTTGTTAAGTCTCATAGACTGATCTGATACATCTAGTCTCAAAAATATAAATAATGTACATTCACTTATGCTATACTCCCTCCTTCCAATCTGATATCAATTTTTTTTATTTCCTTTTTTTTTTTTTTTTTTTTTCATCACCTTGCTCTTTTGTGGGTTCTCTTTCAACTTCTTTATTTTAAACACACTTCCAAACTTGCCCACTGACCTTTGCAACTTCTCTAAAGAATCTCTCAGAAAGACTGTTTTATTGACAAAGAGCAATTGTGACACCTTCCACTTTGTATCAGATTCATTACCTGTTAATACTGCTCCTCTCCCCAAACCCTATCAGTTCTTTTACAATCCCATCTGTACATACATTAAATAACCATGGTGACATCACACATCCATGCCTGAGGCCTGCTTTTACTGGTAAATGGTTCCCCTCACTCTCACATGCCATAACCTGAACTTCACTCTCAATCATATAAAGTCTTTACTGGTTTTAATAGCATACTGCCTGTTTCATACATTTGCAACATAAATTGTTATTAAACAGAATTAACACAATGGTGCTAAACCTGTGTGGGTCATTGTTCTTGGAAGAAAACAAAAAAAAAAATCCGTACCTTCCTTAGGCAACAAAATATGCCTTGACTCACTGTGGCTCTAATCTTTTGATACTATCAACTTGAGCATGCACAAAAAAAAAAAATTGTTAAATTTATCCAGTCAGTTTGGAAAGTGCAGAAAGATGTGATAATCATGGAAATGTAAAAAAAAAAAAATGCATTATTGTGCTACAGTCACTTAATTAAGGTTATACATTATTGCTGCTTAGTAAGCAGCTATAATTAAGTTTTTATAATTAAGTTTTTAGGCTTATGGATAAACAAAGAATAAGATTTCCTCCTAAGAAACATAAATAAGTGGCCTGGTGGCTAAAGCTCTCGCTTCACATAGCGAGGATCTGCGTTCGATTCCCAGCACAGGTAGAAACATTGAACATGTTTCTTTACACTGGTTATCTATGTTCACCCATCAGTAAAATGAGTACCTGGGTGTTAGTCGGCTGGTATGGGTCGCATCCTGGGGCAAGGACCTAATTTGCCCGAAATGCTCTGCTTAACAAGGGGCTTTCTATATATTAGTAGTATATCATTGATGTCAGCTAGGCCTGTATACCATGTACATGTTTTTTTTTTTTTTTTTTTTTTTTTTTTTTTTTTTTTTTTTTTTTTTTTTTTTTTTTTTTTTTTCCAACAAGTCGGCCGTCTCCCACCGAGGCAGGGTGACCCAAAAAAAGAAAGAAAATCCCCAAAAAGAAAATACTTTCATCATCATTCAACACTTTCACCACACTCGCACATTATCACTGTTTTTGCAGAGGTGCTCAGAATACAACAGTCTAGAAGCATACACATATAAAAATACACAACATATCCCTCCAAACTGCCAATATCCCAAACCCCTCCTTTAAAGTGCAGGCATTGTACTTCCCATTTCCAGGACTCAAGTCCGACTATATGAAAATAACCGGTTTCCCTGAATCCCTTCACTAAATATTACCCTGCTCACACTCCAACAGATCGTCAGGTCCCAAGTACCAATCGTCTCCATTCACTCCTATCTAACACGCTCACGCACGCTTGCTGGAAGTCCAAGCCCCTCGCCCACAAAACCTCCTTTACCCCCTCTCTCCAACCCTTTCGAGGACGACCCCTACCCCGCCTTCCTTCCCCTATAGATTTATATGCTTTCCATGTCATTCTACTTTTATCCATTCTCTCTAAATGACCAAACCACCTCAACAACCCCTCTTCTGCCCTCTGACTAGTACTTTTATTAACTCCACACCTTCTCCTAATTTCCAAACTCCGAATTTTCTGCATAATATTTACACCACACATTGCCCTTAAACAGGACATCTCCACTGCCTCCAAACGTCTCCTCGCTGCTGCATTTACCACCCAAGCTTCACACCCATATAAAAGTGTTGGCACTACTATACTTTCATACATTCCCTTCTTTGCCTCCATAGATAACATTTTTTGACTCCACATATACCTCAACGCACCACTCACCTTTTTTCCCTCATCAATTCTATGATTAACCTCATCCTTCATAAATCCATCCGCCGACACGTCAACTCCCAAGTATCTGAAAACATTCACTTCTTCCATACTCCTCCTCTCCAATTTGATATCCAATTTTTCTTTATCTAAATCATTTGACACCCTCATCACCTTACTCTTTTCTATGTTCACTTTCAGCTTTCTACCTTTACACACATTCCCAAACTCATTCACTAACCTTTGCAATTTTTCTTTAGAATCTCCCATAAGCACAGTATCATCAGCAAAAAGTAACTGTGTCAATTCCCATTTTGAATTTGATTCCCCAAAATTTAATCCCACCCCTCTCCCGAACACCCTAGCATTTACTTCCTTTACAACCCCATCTATAAATATATTAAACAACCATGGTGACATTACACATCCCTGTCTAAGACCTACTTTTACCGGGAAATAGTCTCCCTCTCTTCTACACACCCTAACCTGAGCTTCACTATCCTCATAAAAACTCTTTACAGCATTTAATAACTTACCACCTATTCCATATACATGTACTTGCAACATCTGCCACATTGTTCCTCTGTCCACTCTATCATATGACTTTTCTAAATCCATAAATGCAATAAAAACTTCCCTACCTTTATCTAAATACTGTTCACATATATGCTTCAATGTAAACACTTGATCTACACATCCCCTACCCACTCTGAAACCTCCTTGCTCATCCGCAATCCTACATTCTGTCTTACCTCTAATTCTTTCAATTATAACCCTACTGTATACTTTTCCTGGTATACTCAGTAAGTATACTAAGTACATGTACTTGTAGTAAATAAAGACATTATTATTATTATTATTAAAGTGTACAGTAAATACAAGGTGTTATGCACTCAACAAAATGGCTCTTCATTGTTGCGCTTTCTTTTTACAGACTGGGACGGGAGCATTGTTCTTTGCTGCCCAAGGTGGCTTTCTTGATATTGTCACATTGTTGCTGGATCAAGGCTGCAAGATCAATCAAGCCTCCAAGGTAAAGCAATATAATACTGTATTGTACTGTATGATATCTTATCATTATATATTGTAGTTTTTGACTTGAAACAGCAAAAGCAGAAAAAATATACTTATTTTCAAACAATTGACAATTATATATTATTCTGTTCTCTGTTCTTCCTTTCCCAAATGAAACAGGAAGATAAAGAACAATGTATATATATAATATATATATATATATATATATATATATATATATATATATATATAATATATATATATATATATATATATATATATATATATATATTAAAAATGCAGTATTAGAATGTGGGGCAGAAGTTTGTGGTTATAGGAGGGTGGGGGCAGGAGGAAAGAGGAGTGATTGGTGGAATGATGAAGTAAAGGGTGTGATAAAAGAGAAAAAGGTAGCTTATGAGAGGTTTTTACAAAGCAGAAGTGTTATAAGAAGAGCAGAGTATATGGAGAGTAAAAGAAAGGTGAAGGGAGTGGTGAGAGAGTGCAAAAGGAGAGCAGATGATAGAGTGGGAGAGGCACTGTCAAGAAATTTTAATGAAAATAAGAAAAAATTTTGGAGTGAGTTAAACAAGTTAAGAAAGCCTAGGGAAAGTATGGATTTGTCAGTTAAAAACAGAGTAGGGGAGTTAGTAGATGGGGAGAGGGAGGTATTAGGTAGATGGCGAGAATATTTTGAGGAACTTTTAAATGTTGAGGAAGAAAGGGAGGCGGTAATTTCATGCACTGGCCAGGGAGGTATACCATCTTTTAGGTGTGAAGAAGAGCAGAATGTAAGTGTGGGGGGGGTACGTGAGGCATTACGTAGAATGAAAGGGGGTAAAGCAGCTGGAACTGATGGGATCATGACAGAAATGTTAAAAGCAGGGGGGGATATAGTGTTGGAGTGGTTGGTACTTTTGTTTAATAAATGTATTAAAGAGGGGAAGGTACCTAGGGATTGGCGGAGAGCATGTATAGTCCCTTTATATAAAGGGAAAGGGGACAAAAGAGATCGTAAAAATTTTTTTTTTATTATCACACTGGCCGATTCCCACCAAGGCAGGGTGGCCCGAAAAAGAAAAACTTTCACCATCATTCACTCCATCACTGTCTTGCCAGAAGGGTGCTTTACACTACAGTTTTTAAACTGCAACATTAACACCCCTCCTTCAGAGTGCAGGCACTGTACTTCCCATCTCCAGGACTCAAGTCCGGCCTGCCGGTTTCCCTGAACCCCTTCATAAATGTTACTTTGCTCACACTCCAACAGCACGTCAAGTATTAAAAACCATTCGTCTCCATTCACTCCTATCAAACACGCTCCTATCAAACCAACCTTTGCTGGCTTTAAATTCACCAATATGAGCACTAGTTCCAGGGATTTTTCCCTGTTCACCTGGGTGTTAGTCGACTGGTGTGGGTTGCATCCTGGGAGAGAAGATTAAGGACCCCAATGGAAATAAGTTAGACAGTCTTCGATGACACTGACATTTTTGGGTTATCCTGGGTGGCAAATCCTCTGGGGTTAATTGTTTCTTGGTATTCTCAATAAGCCACACCAACAACGGTGCTACAGCAGCAGCAGCAGCAGCTGACAGTGCTACAGCAGCAGCAGCAGCAGCAGCTGACAGTACTACAGCAGCAGCAGCAGCTGACAGTGCTACAGCAGCAGACGGTACTACAGCAGCAGCAGATGGTACTACAGCAGCAGCAGATGGTACTACAACAGCAGCAGCAGCAGCTGACGGTGGTACAACAGCAGCAGCAGCTGACAGTGCTACAGCAGCAGCAGCGTGCTACAGCACAGCGATGGTATACAGCAGCAGCAGCAGCTACGTGGTACACAGCAGCAGCGCTACCACATAGTAGCGATCGTTGATTGGGGTTTATTATACAACCTGGCCAGCTCGGAGACACACACTCCACTTTCATACTTATCAATGATCTTTTTCTTCATCTCTATAGTAATTCTCACCCTTATTGCTGTAGGGTTGGCACTAGAAGCTTTCTTAGGGCCCATGGTCACTTATTTTGCAGATAAAATCACCAAAAACACTGTAATAATACGAAATGTTCCGATTGTATGCTTGGATGTTACCGCGGAGGCTGGCTGGTAAACAATGCCACCGGCGGAACATGTGAGGCTGGCTAAGGGCGCACATTAGACGCGTCTCGGACGAACAGCGTTGAGCGGGTTTTTTAGCGGTATGCGAGGCAAAATCTTGGCGATAAAATGTAGCGGTATGCGGATTTAACGTTATGCAAGGCCAACGGTATGCGGGGGTCCACTGTACCTCTAACTCTCCATTTAATAACTCTCCTCTCCTATTTTTAACTGACAAATCCATTTGTTCTCTAGGCTTCCTTAACTTGTTAATCTCACTCCAAAACTCTTTCTTATTTTCGACAAAAATTGTTGATAACATCTCACCCACTCTCTCATTTCCTCTCTTTTTACATTGCTTCACCACTCTCTCTTTTTCTCCATATACTCTTCCCTCCTTGCATCACTTCTACTTTGTAAAAACTTCTCATATGCTAACTTTTTCTCCCTTACTACTCTCTTTACATCATCATTCCACCAATCGCTCCTCTTCCCTCCCGCACCCACTTTCCTGTAACCACAAACTTCTGCTGAACACTCTAACACTACATTTTAAAACCTACTCCATACCTCTTCGACCCCATTGCCTATGCTCTTATTAGCCCATCTATCCTCCAATAGCTGTTTATATCTTTCCCTAACTGCCTCCTCTTTTAGTTTATAAACCTTCACCTCTCTCTTCCCTGATGCTTCTATTCTCCTTGTATCCCATCTACCTTTTACTCTCAGTGTAGCTACAACTAGAAAGTGATCTGATATATCTGTGGCCCCTCTATAAACATGTACATCCTGAAGTCTACTCAACAGTCTTTTATCTACCAATACATATTCCAACAAACTACTGTCATTTCGCCCTACATCATATCTTGTATACTTATTTAGCCTCTTTTTCTTAAAATATGTATTACCTATAACTAAACCCCTTTCTATACAAAGTTCAATCAAAGGGCTCCCATTATCATTTACACCTGGGTTATAATTGAAAGAATTAAAGGTAAGACAGAATGTAGGATTGCGGATGAGCAAGGAGGTTTCAGAGTGGGTAGGGGATGTGTAGATCAAGTGTTTACATTGAAGCATATATGTGAACAGTATTTAGATAAAGGTAGGGAAGTTTTTATTGCATTTATGGATTTAGAAAAGGCATATGATAGAGTGGATAGAGGAGCAATGTGGCAGATGTTGCAAGTATATGGAATAGGTGGTAAGTTACTAAATGCTGTAAAGAGTTTTTATGAGGATAGTGAGGCTCAGGTTAGGGTGTGTAGAAGAGAGGGAGAATACTTCCCGGTAAAAGTAGGTTCTTAGACAGGGATGTGTAATGTCACCATGGTTGTTTAATATATTTATAGATGGGGTTGTAAAAGAAGTAAATGCTAGGGTGTTCGGGAGAGGGATGGGATTAAATTATGGGGAATCAAATTCAAAATGGGAATTGACACAGTTACTTTTTGCTGATGATACTGTGCTTATGGGAGATTCTAAAGAAAAATTGCAAAGGTTAGTGGATGAGTTTGAGAATGTGTGTAAAGGTAGAAAGTTGAAAGTGAACATAGAAAAGAGTAAGGTGATGAGGGTATCAAATGATTTAGATAAAGAAAAATTGGATATCAAATTGGGGAGAAGTATGGAAGAAGTGAATGTTTTCAGATACTTGGGAGTTGACGTGTCGGCGGATGGATTTATGAAGGATGAGGTTAATCATAGAATTGATGAGGGAAAAAAGATGAGTGGTGCGTTGAGGTATATATGGAGTCAAAAAAACGTTATCTATGGAGGCAAAGAAATTCAAATTCAAAGTTTATTCTCTATAAGGATTACAATGCTGAGTTTACAGAATTTGGTTATTGTGTGGTTTACATGTAGTAAAATAATGATTACAGAGTGTACCACTAGAACACCTAGCATGGCTAGGCATTTTGGGCAGACTTAGTTTAAATCTTAATTTTAAAATATTACAAATTATGAGGTAAGTTGGTATTATGGCTAAGTGACTAAATACTAGTTTGTGAATTTAGCAATGTGAATGCTTTTGTTTTGGCACAGTACATCGTTTCAGTATTGGAGTATCACAGGATTCATTATTTTAAGATTGAGATTAATATTTCTGTTTATGGTCAAATGGGTGAGTGAGTGTAAGTGTGAACCACCAGGTGGTATTCGTGTAGTTAGTTGACGGGGTGTATCAGGGAGATAAGATGTTTTCTAATGGTAGTTTTGAAGGTGATGAATTTGTCTGCAGTTCTAGAGTTCTCAGGTAGGGTGTTCCAGATTTTAGGGCCTTTGACATACATTGAATTTTTGTAAAGGTTTAGTCGGACACGGGGAATGTCGTAGAGATGTTTGTGTCTGGTGTTATGCCTGTGGGTTCTGTCACAACTATCAAGAAAGCATTTTAGGTCAAGGTTGATATTGGAGTTTAAGGTCCTGTAGATGTAGATTGCACAGTAGTAAGTGTGGATGTACTGAACAGGGAGTAAGTTTAGATCTAAGAAGAGTGGGGGGGTGTGTTGCCAGGGATGGGATTTAGTGATTATTCTTACTGCAGCTTTTTGTTGGGTTATTATTGGCTTTAGGTGTGTTGCTGCAGTTGATCCCCAAGCACAAATAGCATAGGTGAGGTATGGATAAATAAGTGAGTGGTATGGTGTGAGAAGGGCATTTTGCGGCACGTAGTATCGTATCTTGGAGAGGATCCCAACCGTTTTGGATACTTTTTTGGTTATGTGTTGGATATGGGTGCTGAAATTCAGGTTGTTGTCAAGGTATAGGCCTAGGAATTTGCCCTCATTATGTCTGGTAATTAGAGTGTTGTCGATCTTAATGTTAATGTATGAAAGTATAGTAGTACCAACACTCTTATATGGATGTGAAGTTTGAGTGGTAAATGCAGCAGCGAGGAGACGGTTGGAGGCAGTGGAGATGTCCTGTCTAAGGGCAATGTGTGGTGTAAATATTATGCAGAAAATTCGGAGTGTGGAAATTAGGAAAAGGCGTGGAGTTAATAAAAGCATTAGTCAGAGGGCAGAAGAGGGGTTGTTGAGGTAGTTTGGTCATTTAGAGAGAATGGATCAAAGTAGAATGATATGGAAAGCATATAAATCTATAGGGGAAGGAAGGCGAGGTAGGGGTCGTCCTCGAAAGGGTTGGAGAGAGGGGGTAAAGGAGGTTTTGTGGGCGAGGGGCTTGGACTTCCAGCAAGCGTGCGTGAGCGTGTTAGATAGGAGTGAATGGAGACGAATGGAACTTGGGACCTGACGATCTGTTGGAGTGTGAGCAGGGTAATATTTAGTGAAGGGATTCAGGGAAACCGGTTATTTTCATAGTCAGACTTGAGTCCTGGAAATGGGAAGTACAATGCCTGCACTTTAAAGGAGGGGTTTGGGATATTGGCAGTTTGGAGGGATATGTTGTGTATCTTTATACATATATGCTTCTAAACTGTTGTATTCTGAGCATCTCTGCAAAAACAGTGATAAAGTGTGAGTGTGGTGAAAGTGTTGAATGATGATGAAAGTATTTTCTTTTTGGGGATTTTCTTTTTTTTTTTTTTTTGGGTCACCCTGCCTCGGTGGGAGACGGCCGACTTGTTGAAAAAAAAAAAAAATATATATATATATATATATCCTCTCATCTGTTTAGATATGATTATGGTACAGCAAATTATGGTACAGTGGAGACAAAGAACTTTATCCATGAAAGCAGAGAGGAATGTATGAGAGTATAATTATACCAACACTCATGTATGGGTGTGAGGCATGGGTTGTGAATGTTGCAACAAGGAGAAGGCTGGAGGCAGTGGAGATGTCATGTCTGAGGGCAATGTGTGGTGTGACTATAATGCAAAGAATCCGTAGTTTGGAGATTAGGAGGAGGTGTGGGATTATGAAAACTATTATCCAGAGGGCTGAGGAGGGGTTATTGAGATGGTTTGGATGTGTAGAGGGGATGGAATGAAATAGAATGACTTAGAGAGTATACAAATCTGTAGTGAAGGGAAGGCGGGGTAGGGGTTGGCTTAGGAAAGGTTGGAGGGAGGGGGTAAAGAAGGTTTTATATGCAAAGGGCTTGGACTTCAAGCAAGCGTGCGCAAGTGTGTTAGACAGGAGCAAATGGAGACACATGATTTTTAGGACTTGATGTGCTGTTGGAGTATAAGCAAGGTAACATTTATGAAGGGATTCAGGGAAGCTGGCAGGCCGGACCTGAGTCCTGGAGATGGGAAGTACAGTGTGTGCACTCTGAAGGAAGGGTGTTAATGTTACAGTTTTATAACTGTAGTGTAGGCATACCTCTGGCAAGACAGTGATGATGAAAATTTTTCTTTTTCGGGCCACCCTGCCTTGGTGGGAAATGGCCGATGTGTTAATAAAAAAAAACAGCAAATAAATGTTGTTTGGTGTCATGTGATGCTTATGGCTAGACCACTGAAGAAAAAACCCTTTGTATTATGAGTAATTTTACTTGACTTTATAATCTTTTTTAGAGAGAGTTTCCCTTAATGAAATATGTGTGTCTTCTTGTTCAGGATGGAGGTACAGCACTTATTGTGGCAGCACAATGTGGCCACATGGATGTAGTAATAGAGCTCCTGCGACGAGGAGCTGATCCTCATAGTGCTATGAAGGACAGGGCCACAGCAGTCTTTGTTGCTTCGCAAAATGGCCATACTAGTGTTGTGAGAACATTGCTGAATGCAGGTGCTAAGGTTAGTTATCAGATTATTTAAACAGATTTCAAAGTACTGTAAGTAGATGAAATTTACATGGTTTCCAAGTTAATTCAAGTAGAAATTTATATGGTTTCCAAATTGATTCAAGAAGAAATTTATAAGATTTCCAAGTTAATTCAAGTAGAAGAACTTTATATGGTTTCCAAGTTGATTCAAGTAGAAGAACTTTATATGGTTTCCAAGTTAATTCTAAATTATTGTTATACTTCTTAGCCTTCATGTACATTGATACTTAGATCAGAATTAGGAGCATAGCTAGATCAGTGACCTTTAAGCAACCAGTATTATCTTGAAAAATACTGTGAAAGTAATAAGGTGTATTCATTACTATTTTTTATTTGTGAAAACAGTACAAGTCTGGGTGTGGGTCATTATCAGCATTATTGAAAGAGCAAGTTTTTTTTTTTTACAAAGTTTGCAGGCTCAGCATTCCACATTACTCCAGTACGGTATTCGGAATGGGCTGTCTGGCTGGAAAGGGGGGCAGGGCTAGGAGACTTGTTTGGATGCATCATTATTATTATTACTTTTTTTATTTGGGAGCTCGGAGAATTTGGGGTGGTTTCAGCCCCTGAGATACCCCTTGGCACTGACCCTGATTAAGCAAGACTTTTAGTAAAAGTTGCATTAATTATTAGCATAAGTAGACTGTTGAATAACATGCAATCAAGCAACACATTTTCTACATAATACAAAAAATTCTGCAACATAATTTTGAATAGCACACTTTAAAGTTAGGACAAAAAATAGGCAAAAAAGGAAAAGACAGTACATGAATGCTAGTAATTATAATATAAAATATATCTAGTTTAAGCTAATAATGTATGCTCTCTCACTCCCTACCCAACATTCAAGGCTTGAGAATGTGGAAATATATATCCTCTAAGAATGGGGGTTCTCTACTGTAGAATAATAGTAATACTGTATATAACTTTGAATTTTAAAATATAAAAAAATGTGTATTGAGTGCAACTGTGCTTGTAGGTATACCAGGTGTAAAAAGTTTCATGATTGTCTTTCTGTGGCAGGCTAATGTAAGACGCGTGGATGGTGCCAGTCCACTGTGGATTGCCTCACAGATGGGTCACCAAGGGGTCGTACGCCTTCTGTTGAACCATGGTGTCAATCCCGATGTCACCAGACATGTGAGAAAATATGACCATAATGGTTTATTTATCAGATACTTATATTTGTGGTTACAAGGGCAGAGCTATTCTCTGGGACACTTATTTGCTTAATTAAGCCATTTTTTGTAGGGTTATATGTTTTTCATATGTTTTCATGTAGTTTTTATTCCTTCAGGCAAGTCTTTTATATGATGCTGACATTTCATATGTGGACTCTTTTTTTTTTTTCTTTTGCACACTATTTTCAAATAAAAAATCTCTCATTCAGTGTGATATATCCCCTTTCATTCACCTATTTTTCATATTTTTCAAATTAATCTTTTGTAGGGAGATCTGTTGAAATCTTTCTTCAAATCTGAATACTGTTTTGTAAATGCAGTTGCCCATCCATTTCTTGAATAATTTTTGTGAGTGTCATGTAGTAATTTAATACTGTACTTTAAACTGATAAACGAATAGAGACCATCACCTAAATAATTTTTTTTTCAACAAACCGGCCGTATCCCACCAAGGCAGGATGGCCCAAAAAGAAAAACGAAAGTTTCTCTTTTTAAATTTAGTAATTTATACAAGAGAAGGGGCTACTAGCCCCTTGCTCCCGGCATTTTAGTCGCCTTTTACAACACACATGGCTTACGGAGGAAGAATTCTGTTCTACTTCCCAGTGGAGAACTGTGCAATTGTAATTATTATTTTGTAAATACTAGCTTATAGATTTCCCTATAAGTTTGTAAGAACTAATACCTGTATACTGTTAATGTGGGGGTGGGGTGACCCCCCAAAAAATGAGAGGAAACACATTCACCATCATTCATTCAATCACTATCTTGCCAGAAGCATGCTGGCTTTCCTACAGCATGTCAGGTTTAGCATGTTTTCATAAATGAAGATAAAAATTATTTTGGAGTGTTTTAATTTATGGTGTGTATTGCAGGATGGGGCAACACCACTGTTCAAAGCTGCCCACAAGGGTCATGTGGAGGTGGTTCATGAGCTGCTGCCCTTCAAGCCATGTCTGGGACTCCTTAAGGTATTTAGTATTGTGCTCAGTCTATTGTAAAATACCCTGGTAAATAAAAGGTCTTAAATGTCTTAAAACCTGCATACACGACTATTTACATGCATTCATCTTTGAGCATGAATAACCTTGTGCATCTTCTTGTTTGATTTATATAACTTTTCATTAATTTTATCATTGCTAAAGCCTGTATAATGAAATTATTCTTATTAAATTTTTTCAACATGCCAGCCATCTCCCACTGAGGCAGGGTAGCCCAAAAAAGAAAGAAACACTTTCACCACCATTCAACATATTCACACATAATCAGTGTTTTTGCAGAGGTGCACAGATATGACAGTTTAGATGTCACTCCAAACAGCAAATATCACAAACCCCTCCATTGCACTTTCCACCTCCAGGATTCAAGTCCGGCTAACTGCTTTCCCTGAATCCCTTAACAAAATATTACCCTGTTCATACTCCAACAGCTTGTCAAATCCCAAAAACCATTCGTCTCCATTCACTCCTGTCTAAGACACTCACACATATCTGCTGCATGTCCAGGCCCCTTGCACGTAAAACCTCTTTTACCCCCTCCCTCCATCCTCTCCTAAATAAGTAAGTTTATTCAGGTATACACAAATACAGTTACATAGAATTATCATACATAGCAGCATATGTGTAGAGAACCTAGGATAACCCAAGACAGAGTGACTTATTTCCATTGGGATCCTTTTACCTTATTATTATAATATAAAGGTTATAATATAATGTTCTATAATGAAGATAACATCTTATTATCATACTAAAAAGACTATCTACTACACGAGGGTCATTAAGACTATCTACAATACAAGGGTCATTACTAGGAATAAGGTAAAATTTACACGTATATTAGCTAAAAAAATAGAAAATCATTCCCCTCCCTTTCTGTAGCTACATTCATCAGACACTCTTCTTGAACTGGTTCATGCTATGACTGGCTTTGACATGTGCGGACAGTCTGTTCCATTCCTTTATTGCTGTACAATAAAAGGTGTTTGAAGCCTGGCCAATGACTGTGGGTACTACAAAGTTGTGCTCTCTCCCCCTAGTACTGTGATTGCTTTGGTTCCCAACCTTGACAAAATTGACAGTAAGATATTCTGGACATTGTTTGTGAGCAATTTTATAAACATGATTTAGCTTCAGCATATGACCCCTACCCCTCCTCCCCTCCACTACAGATTTATGCACCCTCCAAGTCATCCTATTTTGCTCCTCTCTAAATGAGCAGACCACCTCAACAGCCCCTCCTCAGCCCTCTGAATAATACTTTTAATAATTCCACACCTCCTAATTTCCATACTATGAATTTTCTGCATAATATTTACACCACACTTTTCCGTTGGACACGACATTCCACTGCCTGCAGCCTCCTCCTTGCTGCAACATTTACAACCCATTCTTCACACCCATATAAGTGTTGGTAGCACTATACTCTCTTACATTGCCTTCTTTGCCTCTGTGGATAATGTTCTTTGTCTCCACAAATACCTCAGTGCACCACCCACCTGTTTTCCCTCACCAGTTCTATGGTTTACTTCATCTTTCATAAACCCATCCATTGAAAAGTCCACCCCCAAATATCTGAACACATGGAGAAGTGCTAAATCCATGAGGGTTGTATAATCTTTAGGGAATGGGAGAAAATTAGGTTTGATTCGAGGAAAGGGAGGGTAACTCCAATTCCTTGGATCAGACACCCTTTGCATATATGAAGATTTGAAATCCTGCAACATTATAGAAGATAGGTATGGTATGTATAGTAAATTTTGTGAAATTATACATCTAGTATGTATAATTTCCAGTATGTATAATTTACCAGAACTCAAGTTACAAGTAAACTTGGTACAACTGTAACTGGAAACAGATAGCTCTATTTAACTGCTGTAGAATATTTTATAATACATGCTGTACCACAGACTTTTTTTTTTACAAGAACATAGACTTTAATGCTGTTCATGGGATTATTTTTATATTTTCAAAAGTTTACTTAGCTTAACTTGTGGTTACAGTCATTTTGATAGTGCTGGATATACAAAATTATAATTAGACATTTGCTAGAGTAATAATAGTACAGTATAGCTTGAAGTAAATTGGGCAGGTACAGTACATACTCTCTATATTCATCCATTGTGTTCATGACATTTACAGTAAGGCCTCACTTATACGGCAGGTTAGGTTCCAGGCTACCTCCGTAAAGCGGAAATCGCTGTGAAGTGTAAAGTTAGCAATAGAACTAGTTTTTTTTTTTTTTTCAACAAGTCGGCCGTCTCCCACCGAGGCAGGGTGACCCAAAAAGAAAGAAAATCCCCAAAAAGAAAATACTTTCATCATCATTCAACACTTTCACCTCACTCACACATAATCACTGTTTTTGCAGAGATGCCCAGAATACAACAGTTTAGAAGTATATACGTATAAAAATACATAATATATCCTTCGAAACTGCCAATATCCCAAACCCCTCCTTTAGAGTGCAGGCATTGTACTTCCCATTTCCAGGAACTAGGTACGTATTAAAAAACAAACAAAATAAAATACATACACCTATAGTACACTCATTACTTAAAGTATTTGTAGTCTTAATGTAACATGAGAGGTGAGTAGTATTTATTTGTAGGAAGTTGGGTGTGGGAGGTATGGTAGCCAGCCAGGCCAGGCCACCCCACCCACTCATAATAAACTACGACATTTAAAGCATCCCAGAGCGATAAAATGCATATACAGTTCACTTATTACTTACCTTAAAATATTTCTAGTCTTAATGTAGGGTGTGAGGTGCGTAAATGGGATAAAACGATTGAACAAGAGAGAGAGAGAGAATGAGTAAATGAGAGAGGACACGTATGAGGAGTATATAAACAAACAGACGAATACATCTGGTTTTGGTTCAAGGTAAGTAAGTTTATTCAGGTATACACAAATACAGTTACATAGATTATTATACATAGCAGCATATGTGTAGAGAACCTAGGATAACTCAAAAAAAAGTCAGACAAAGTGACTTATTTACACTAGGGTGTAAGTCACTTTGTCTAACTTTTTTGGGTTATCCTGGGTTGTGTATACACATGCTGCTATGTACATTAATCACTGTAACTTTATTTGCGTATACCTGAATAAACTTACAGTGAACCAAAACCAGACATGTTCGTTTGTTTGTTTATATACTCCGCATCTCTGGCCTCTCTCGTTTACTCATTCTCTCTCTCTATCTCCCGTTTATTCATTTTATCTCGTTTACTCACCTCTCACCCTACATTAAGACTACAAATATTTTAAGATAAGTAATGAGTGAACTGTATGTGCATTTTATCACTCTGGGATGCTTTAAATGTCGTAGCTTATTATGAGTGGGTGGGGTGGCCTGGCCTGGCTGGCTACCATACCTCCCACACCTGACTTCCTATGTTCATGACTTCCACGTTTGTATTATTCCATAATACAAACACTTTACATTATGTACAAGTTGTCTCCATGTTGGTACAGTAGAATAAATTAAGAGCAACACTCCCACTCTCATATAACACCATTTTTAGATGAAATGACGCTCTGAGTGAAGGCATACGACAAGAGTAATTTTCTACGGTTACCCCCAGTAATATTATTGTGTACACATTTTCTTTGGTGTTGAACTAGAATAAGAGTAATTATTGTTGCATATTATTATCATCATTATTAATATGGCATCAAGACTAATAAGACATTCTTCGTGATTTTAATGTGTACCTGCACACCAGCACTGTGTGTAAGTTTATTTAGGTACAGGTACACACAAGTATAATTATCACAGTATACATATATAAAACATGAAATAACTTTAAAACACTTGAAGTTTTGGAAAGTTTCTAGACATAATGGAGAGACGCAGTGCTCACAGAGAATGTAAACAAACCGGGTGGGGTGCGGTGACTGTATTAGAAAGACAGGTGAGGGGAGCTGTATAGTGAGTTTTAGTCATAATTTGAAATGTCTGTATTAGCGGAATGCCATAAAGCGGGGCCGTGCTGTATATATATTTTAATTCACTAGCAGAGTATACAGCAGTACCTACACCCATGATAGGTGTGAAGTTGTGAATAGCTATATACATACCCAGGTATGTGAATACATTAGTGAGGCTGTGTTTTAACCAGATCACTGTTAATAGCATCACAAAAACATTTAGTCTGGTCATAAAGGATCAAGCATTACTACAGAAATAACCAAATTATGCAAGTTTATCTCATTGCAGTACAGTAGTTTGACATAACCCTTATGATTTAGTAGTTTATGACATAATTTTTCTTAAGAAAAGTAATTTTGACACTTGCCCTTGGTTCTCCAATACTTATGATGTGAACATTTTTTTTATTGCAGTTGAGTACTGTATTTGGAGAAGATTCTTAATGTACCACCTTGACCCAAATGCATTAACATAAGTAATTTGGCAGAAATAAAGAATCACGTGATTCTATTTGAAGGGCAGATAAATAATAATTAGAATGTACTGTATACTGTAATAATATTTTGGATAAACATTTCATGTACTTTTTTATATTTACAGAATGGAGAGTCTGCTCTACATGCAGCTGCCTTATATGGTCATCTGCAGGTGCTTCGAGTGTTGGTTGAGGCAGGTGCTGATCCAGGCCTTAAAAATGATCAAGGACTCACACCTATCCAGATCGCTGCTCAGGCTCGCCATTATGAAGCCGTCCAGCTACTAAAGGAAGCCCTGACCAAGAGAAAAGAGACGGGTCAAATTACGCCAAAGACTTCACCAGGTCCACGCTCCCCACGCTTGGTGCAGAGCATGTCTGGTAGTGTAGTCAGCTCAGGGGTCCAGAGCCAAAATAGCAGTCGAGGCTCATCCAGGAACAGTTCCTTGGGCACTATAGTAGAGACTAGTCCAGTGTTGCCCCGCTCTGTTAGCTCACCCAGCAACTCAAAGCCTGCCCAATATGTGTCATGTGAGCTGAGTAACATTGTAGATGGTGGAGCACGTCCCAGAGCAACTTTGGCTACGGGATCATGCACATCAGTCAGTGGACGGACCCCTTCTTCATCCAACCCTTCACCTTCTCCCAGTATCTCAAGTGAGCCTCCACAGTCTATGATTGCTGCTTTGCAGAAAGCTCCCCGTCATGCCTCTCATGCAGATGTCAGCAGTGTAAAAAATATTTTTCGCAGAACACTTGCTTCGTTTAGGCGATCCAGTATAGTGAAAAGAAATGATAAGCCTCATGAACCATGACAACCTTCCACGTGTTCTTGATTTCTGGTTTTGTCTACTTGTTTGCTTTCCAAAGTGTACGACATTTTCAGTACAAATGCCTAATAAGTCACTGGTGATACTAGGATAGGAATACTAATACCAAGGTGTACTCCAGGTAAAATAAATTGACAGGAAATTAAGTCATGCAGGAAGAAGACAGGAAGTTCCTGAAAGCTTAATAAATATGGTACAGTAACATGAATAATTTTAATATTGTCACATTTTCAATACAATGTCTCAGATACATTACACATGCACACGCGCGCGCACACACACACACACACACACACACACACACACACACACACACACACACACACACACACACACACACACACACACACACACACACACACACACACACACACACACACATCACACACACACTCTCACTCTCTCACTCTCTCACTCTCCACTCTCTCTCTCTCTCTCTCTCTCTCTCTCTCTCTCTCTCTCTCTCTCTCTCTCTCTCTCTCTCTCTCTCTCTCTCTCTCTCTCTCTCTCTCTCTCTCTCTCTCTCTCACTCCTCTCTCTCTCTCTCTCTCTCTCTCTCTCTCTCTCTCTCTCTCTCACTCTCTCACTCTCTCACTCTCTCTCTCACTCTCTCACTCTCTCACTCTCTCACTCTCTCACTCTCTCACTCTCTCACTCTCTCTCTCTCTCTCTCTCTCTCTCTCTCTCTCTCTCCTCTCTCTCTCTCTCTCTCTCTCTCTCTCTCTCTCTCTCTCTCTCACACACACACACACACACACACGTTACACACACACACACTTTCTCCCCCTGTGCTCCTATAACTACAGACAGGTAATATTTATATATCTATCTATCTCTGTATATCACGTCACGCACTGTATACATTATACAGTAACTGAATAATGGGAGGGAGGAGGAGTGGGAGGCTAGTAATGGTGATTGTGGGATAGAGATGACATTGTTTTACTGTAATCATGACAATAATGGACAAATTTGCAAACAGCTGACTTTGTTGCTCCTGAATCAGTTGACCCAGCAAATTTTTTCCTGTTTTCTGAAGTCTATTAAACCAAGGGATTATATTTTTCTCTCTCACTCTCATTCTCTCACTCTCATTCTCTCTCTCTCATTCTCTCTCTCTCATTTTCTCACATTCTCTCTCATTCTCTCTCTCTCATTCTCTTTCATTCTTACTCTCTCAATATCACTTACACTCACATGTTCTCACATTCACATTCTAACATTCTCACACTCATACATACACATATTCACTCATAAAAAGGAGGAAGGGTACACACACTCTCTGCAATCTGACTTAGTATATTTAGCATTGAATATTTTATCATGATCTATGCAAGGTAATTCATATCACTATTAACTAGACTTTTTAGTCTTCTGATTTCACTTAAACATTTAGTGTTATGTTCTGTGATGATCCTTGCTGTTCCTTTAGTCGGGAGGGATAACTGTGCCCTTCACCGCAGCACTGCATCTAGTGGAGTGGGCAGCCTGGTGATTTTTTTACAGTTACCAGCAGAATATAAATCACACTAATGTGACTGGAACAGTTCAGAACTAACTCAGAATTTAGAAATGAACTGTTATTGAGTGACCAGGGATTTTTTTTAATATGTACATTGGCTATCTTTTACCAAGGTAGGGTGACCCTAAACAAAAAGGATATACGTTTACCATCACTCATTGTCTTGCCAGATGTGTGTATACATTGCAGTTTAATTCACCTGCCAAACTGCAACATTCCTATTCCTCTTGGGCATTCAGGCACTGTACTTCCCACCTCCAGAACTAACTGGTCCAGGATGGATTGAAACTGTCTAATTTTCATTTCCAATTTGTGGGTTAGTTGTGAACTGACAGCGCTCCTCTGTAACATCCTCAACAGTTACAACCAAAGATGGTCATCAGCTTGATGTTATTTAAATAATACTGCATGCTTTTTATATTTCTTTATTTTTAAAATAATTGTAATTCATTTCACACTCATTAGTACAACTTCTGAATATGAGTGGTTAAGAGGTTGTGTACATGGAACTTGTTAAACAATAATGTCCTACTATATAGAAAATGTAAGTGAAACACAATGCTTAAGATGCATTGCACTGAGGTAAGTATAGAAGTAAGCTTTTGTGTAGAAGAGTATATAAGTAAGGGTGTAATGAGTTAAGGAACATTTTTAGAAGTTAGCTGAAAAAGATTAAGAATTTTTGTAAATTAATAATTGACCAATTTTTAATAATTTGATTTTTATATCTGCTGGGTCTATACGGTGCTCTACAGTTATATTAATGATTTACAGAAGAATTATTTACCATATGTACTGTATTTCTATATTGTGAATACTGTAAAAGCTTCCATTGGTGAGGGCATCCATACCTTGGAGGAGTTGCCAGTTGGATCTCAGCTGCTACTTGAACAAACCATTCCATACTCACAGTATGGTTAAAATATAACCTTCATATTTTGACTAATGTGCACATTAAAATGTGTCCAATTTGTGAAAATCTGTAACCGTATTGCGTACATTTAAAAGAGTACTGGTAGTGTGCATCCACTCCTCGATGGACACCAGATTATACGTGCTTGGTTGACACTATGCTGGTGTTCTTTTTAGCTGTAACTACCTTTAGAGTGTAAACTTATCAACAATAAGATTATATTAGAGGAAACAAGTTGAATGCAGATGTTATGTTTTGAATTTAGATAATTATACCCAGTTCGAAGGCAGTTGCCCATGATGACGTCCAGCATACTTAAGGTGGGAAACACGGTCTATATTAATTTATTTTTTTAATATCTAGTATGTTGAGTAAGCCACAGAGAAATTATTCCATTAATCTCTTAACTCTGATTGCAGTATGTATTGTGAAACAGTAGAGAATAAATGATTAATTAGCAAAAAAAAAAAAAACAGCATCTTTAATACAAAGATAAACATAGGTTGTGGTAGTGTGAAACCTGGGAAGTTTATTGTTAAAATTTGTAGTAGTATACTGAAGATATTTGCTAGTACTGTATTAGAGAAAAGTGGTCAGGCAGGAAAACAAAAGAGAAGTTTATAGTCTGTGCAGGAAGTTATGACACTGGATGCAGGACAAACTTTTGAGCATTGAAACTTACGCAACAAATGGTTGGAGTCTAGATTTTCTAGACATCTTGGGAAAAATTTGCACACTTGGCCTGGCCCATGGCTGGGCTCTGGTTGTAGAAAAACTCTCAAAACTCGTCAAAAGTATTAATTGCAAGTGGAGCCATGCAGCTTCAAGAGTGGGCTAAACTGCTTTTGGGTCAAACTTTGTATTGTGTTCAGTGAAGCTTAGATGATGGCATATTGGATCAAATCAAATCAAATTTTATTTCTTTGCTAAGGTTACAATGTGTTTACATTTCATGACTTGATTTTTACAAAGAAAGCCTCTTTTATGCCGAGGCAATTCGGGCAGACTTAACCTAATAATTCAAGACTACTTAAGTCTAAACAGGTGAAGAGTGATAATTACAAATATTGAATATTTTACGCTATTATTCCTCTTCAAGGGGGGCTCCTTGGCGTGGTGAAGAGGCTCTTGGTCTGAGGAATTAGACCTATCGGTCTTCTTCCTCAGACCGAACCTAATTACCCCCCAATCTCCCCTCCCCTATCCCATCCTCCCCATCCTCCCCTTTTTCCTTTCCTCCTCCTCCTCCCCACTCCTCCCTTTTGCCCTTCCTCTTTTTGTCCTTTGGGATTTCTCCCACAGGCACGCTAGTTCCTAGGTAGAGGAAAGGACACCGGGGTCGATCCCATTCCGTTGAGGTTTCTTGGCGGTGGCGTAGTTTGCCGTGGAATCTGGATTGCCTAGGGATGTCCCGATCCCTCTCCGGTATCCCGGAGTAGCTTTGGGTGTCTTTTGGGCGACGGGTGTATCTCTGGAAGCCACCTTTCGGATTCCGGGGGTGGTGGCTGAAGGAGGTATGCTTTGTGGCGGATATCCGGCCGCCCTCTCTTTTGTCCACCGAGGTAGCTCGGCAGATGTGAGGTTGCTATCCCAGATTGCTGGTTTACTGGCATGAAGGGTAGGGTATGGCACGGGTTCCATGCTGCATCTGCGCTACTAGCGGTGTCGAGTCCTCTTGGGCGCGGAGGGAGATTTCTGGCCCTTTCATTCCTCCTAGGAACTATCCCTCCCCGGTCCCCCCTTTTTTTTTCTTTTTTTATTTTTATTTTCTTTTCTTCTTTCTTTTTTTTTCTTAAAAACAAAAAGAAAGAAGTAACCTAACCATGGCAGCCCTAGTCCATGAACCTTTTACCCCCGGGCCCCTTCTTGATACCGCACCCCGTTCTGACCCCGCCTCGTCTTTGGACCACTCTTCAGACATTCCTCATGCCTCTGTACCTATTGCCGGTGCTGTTTCCTCACCTGCTTCAGGTACTGAGGCCTCGACTGACTCCTTCGATTTATCAGACCTTCGCTCTCCTCTGACTATGCTTCCGGCCTCTCCCTCTACGGTGCGGCAATTTTCAAATCGCCGACCCGTTCCACGTCGGACCAACTCTGGTCCCACGCCTAAACGTCAACGACAATTACCTGCTGATGATACTTCTCCACCTTCACCTTCTCGTTCTTCTCAGAAAAGATCGACACGTCCTTCACTACCTTTCCACGCTCAGTTTCAGACTGAACAGTGGACTAAATTCTTCACTTTACGACCAACTTCCTCTACTGCCTATCTTTCTGACCATAGTATTGGCAAGGCACTCCTACGCCCATGTTGGTAAAGATATTTCTTTTCATGCTCTTAAGAGCGGTACGCGCATCATTACCGTACAGAATGCTACCCAGGCTCGTGAGCTCTCTCGTCTTTCCCATATAGATACTGTTCCTGTCACCCTTGAAAAACATCATTCCCTCAATTCTTGTAGTGGTACCGTTATTCTGCCCCATACCATAGTTCAACAAAATTTCCAGACATGTGGCACCGACATTCTAGAACAGCTGGAACTCCAAGATCTCCCAATCCTCAAGGTAGACACTTACGTTCTTCCTGCCCGTGGGCGGAGACGATACCCTAGCAATGTGGCTCGTTTAACTTTTGACAGCCGAGAACTCCCATCCTCAGTTTATATAGCAGGACATCGGTTACAAGTTCGAAAGGTGATCCCTACACCACAACAGTGTAGAAATTGCTGGCGATTTGGCCATCCAGCGAAATATTGCAGATCTATCGCCGAATGCCCAGTCTGTGGTGCCGATGACCATTCTAATACGTCTTGCAATCGATCTCCCTCTTGCCTTAACTGTCATGAGGCTCACCCTTCGTACTCTCGCCGTTGTCAGGTCTATTTAAACGAGCGGGAAATCCGTCACCTCAAAGAGACAGAAGGTCTCCCTTATGCCATGGCAGTTTCTCATCTCCGCCTCCAAGGGAGACTCCCACGTGTTTCTTATTCCCGTGTTTCAAAACGTCCCCCCACTTCTGGTATCCCATCTTCTACACCCACCTCTGTGGTTACCTCTCCGATAATCACTCCTGTATCTAATCCTTTTGCTGTCCTCGGCTCAGACGTCCCTACTTCAACGCCTCAGTCTAATCTCGCTTCTTCGAGTTCTCTCTTACAAGCCTCAGTATCGACGAGACCTCGTACGACACCTCTTCCCAATCGTCCCTCTACTTCTCAAAAGTCAAAAAAAGGTCCGGTAACACCTCCTACCCATCTTCCACCTCCTCATTTTACCCTCCCTGTCTCTGTCCCTAGTTCTTCCCCTCTCACTGGCTCAGTTACAAGTGCAGAGGTTCACCCTCCTCCTCGTATGTACCTTCCTCCCCTGTTCCCTCCCAAGTTTCTTCCTCTTCTGCCACCTCCCAGGTTCCTGTCTCTTCTGTCCCCTGCCACGCTTCTCCAGTTCCCTCCACCCTTTCGCCCCCCCCTACCTTGGTACAGTCCAATACAGTTCCAATCTTTACTCATCCTCCCCCTACCATTCCCAATATTGTCTCCCATACGACATCTCTGAATTCTGAAACACTTGAAGCAATCTCTGAATATATTGCAGAGACCAAACCATCAATGGACACTGATCCACCTTCCGCTCTTTCTCTCTCCTCTGCTCCATCTGCGCAACTCCTTTCTTCACAGCGCACCGTTCCTTCGCTGCTTGAACATTTTCCACTGCCTCCGCATGTGGACTTTTCTAACCCTCCTAGTCCGTAGGAACCCTTACCTGCGGATTTCAAGTATCTTTATCATTGCCATTCATGGCCTTTTTACAGTGGAATATACGTGGCCTCAGGGGTAATCGGGGTGAGCTTCAGATGTTACTCTCCCAGTTTGCCCCTGTTGGTGTTTGCTTACAGGAACCAAAATTACACTCTGCTGTTATTTCTCACATCTCAGGTCGAAACTTGATTATGGTGACCAGATCTATTCAGCGGCATCTCCTGCTACTCTCTCTAGCCTTAACCCCATTCATCACCAAGGATTACGTTTATGCCTTGGTGCTTTTCGCTCTTCCCCTGTCGAAAGCCTCTATGCAGAAGCGAACGTTCCATCCTTATCCGATCGCCGTGATGCCCATTGCCTGCGCTACTATGTACGCTCTCATGATCTCCGCAATCCTTCCATTTATAGAATGGTCACTGATATTAGTAGACATTCTTTATTTGTTCGCCGCCCCTGCTTACTCCGTCCCTTCTCTCTTCGCCTTCATTCGCTCTTGTCTTCTCTTCAACTACCACCTTTCTATGTACATGTAGCATCACACTTTTCCCTACCCCCCTGGGAAGTTCCAGCTGTTCGAGTCTGTTCTTTCTCCCTCCCTTGCTCGAAAGCCCAACTGTCTACGGTCGCTTCCCGCTCTCTTTTTCTTGACCACTTTCACTCTCATTCTCATGCCATTGCTGTGTACACAGATGGCTCTAAGTCTTCTGACGGCGTAGGATTCGCAGCAGTGTTTCCGGACAGCGTCGTACAAGGGCATTTACTATCTTCAGCTAGTATTTTTACTGCTGAATTATATGCCATCCTTACAGCACTTATCCGTATTGCATCTATGCCTGTGTCATCATTTGTGGTTGTCTCAGACTCCCTTAGTGCTTTACAGGCTATACAAAAATTTGATACACCTCACCCCTTAGTCCTCCGTATCCAACTTTGGCTACGCCGCATCTTTACTAAGCATAAAGATATTGTTTTTTTTGGGTCCCTGGTCATGTTGACGTACAGGGCAATGAACAGGCAGACACTGCTGCGCGGTCAGCAGTACATGACCTACCAGTTTCTTATAGAGGTATTCCATGTACGGACTATTTTGCTGTAATATCTTCCCACCTTCACACCCGTTGGCAACAACGTTGGTCTACTATGCTCGGCAACAAACTTCAGTCTATTAAACCGAGTATAGGTTACTGGCCGTCTTCTTATCACCAGTGTCGAGGTTGGGAGACTACTCTCTCCCGTCTTCGCATTGGCCATACTCGTCTTACTCATGGAATATCTCATGGAGAGGCGTCTTGCTCCTCTCTGTGAGAATTGCCAAGCTCCATTATCAGTCAGCCACATTCTGTTGGACTGCCCACTTTATCAACGAGCACGCAGAATTTACCTCTGTCGTCGTCTTCGCCCCGCTGCTCTCTCTTTACCTTCCCTTCTCGCTGATGGACCCACCTTTCATCCGGACTCTCTCATTGACTTTTTGACAACGACTGACTTACTCCACAAATTTTGATACTTTCAGCCCTTTCTACTTGTATCTCTTGCTACCCTCTACCCCCGTACTATCCCCTGCCCCGCTGTTTTCTGTACCCTGCTGATCATCCCCCCTCCCTTCTGCCATCCAATTCCCTTGCTTCCTTCCCTACCCTGCAGCGCTGTATAGCCCTTGTGGCTTAGCGCTTCTTTTTGATTATAATAATAATAATTACGCTATTATTAATATGAGGTAGTATAGTTTATGATACAAACATACATTTTCAAGTTTGTAATTAAGTTTGCTCTATTATTAATATGATGTAGTACAATTAATGATACAGACATACAGTTTTAAGTTTGTTATTAATAATGGCTTAATAGTTAAGGCATAATAAAATATTTGGGAGAGTTGCTTTAAATTTGGTTAGAGTTTAGCATAGTGTGTGTATGGTTGTTATTGAAAGATGAGATGATTTTTGAGTATAGTCCTAAATTGATTAATGGGCAGGGGACCTCTTGCTGCTTTGGGCAGAGAGTTCCAGATCTTCAGGCCCTACATGTACATTGCATTTTTGCGAGACGGACATGAGGGATGCTTAAAAGCGTTTTGTGCCTCGTGTTATGCCTGTGTGTTCTGTTGAAGCTGTCTAGGAGAAGTTTAAGTGGAGGGTTGTTACTGGAATCTGATATTCTGTATATATACTAGGCACAATAATAAGTGTGTATATTTTGTATATTAAGCAAGTTCAAGCTTTTGAAGAGTGGTGGGATGTGTTGTCTGGTGCAGGAGTTTGTGATCATCTGCACCACTGCCTTTTGTGGGTTATTAAAGGTTTGAAGTGATTGGCCATGGTAGATTCCCAAGCGCAAATACCATAGGTGAGGTATTATATCTTGGGAAGGTAGCCTTTCCAAGATACGATACATAGTATTGTATCTTGGAAAGGATACCTACTGTTTTGGAAACTTTCTTAGCTATATGCTAGATGTGGGTCTGAAATTTTAGATTACAGTCAAGGTGGAGACCTAGAAATTTGCCCTCAGTGTATCTTGTAATGGGTGAACCATTTATTGATATGTTTAGCTGGATATTTAATGCTCTGTTTCCAAATAGCATAAAGTAGGTTTTATCTATATTGAGAGTAATTTTGTTGGTCATCATCCAGTTTGATGTTTTATGTTGCTCACTGTTTACAGTGTCACCAAGTATAGCTGTGCTTTGGCGGGAGAAGACGCAAGTGGTGTCATCTGTGAATAGAACTGGTTTAAGGAGTCGCGATGCATTTGGGAGGTCATTGATGTAAATAAGAAAGAGTAGAGGACCTAGAACACTTCCCTGTGGCACTCCAACAACTACAGGCTGTGTATTGGAGATCACACCATTTGTGTATACATAATGGTGTCTACCACTAAGATAAGATTTTAGGTAATTGAGAGTGTGTCCTCTGACCCAGTAATGCTCTAGTTTTAGGTGCAAGATATTGTGGTCTACTGCATCAAATGCTTTCCGTAGGTCTATGAAGAGCCCTAGAGGATATTCATTTTTTCAAGTGCTGTAGTATATAGTAGTTCGACCATCTGAATTATTGCATCCTTTGTGCCTTTTTTGGCCTAAATCCAAACTGGCAGGGGTTCACTATGTTATGGGATAGGAGGTCGGAGTAGATTTATGTATTACTTTTTCGAAGATTTTAGAGAGTAAATCCAAGTTAGATACTGGTCTGTAGTTATTTAGTTCTGTAGGATCGCCTCCTTTGAGGATTGGGGTGACCCTTGCTGTCTTGAGTACGGATGGGAATGTTGAAAATTCAACAGATTTGTTAAATAGTGTTGCAATAATGGGGGACAGCTGCTTTTTTATACATGATGGGTGGCAAGTTATTTAGATCCCCTGCCTTGTTTTTTAATGATTTAATTATTAGTGAGACTTCAGTAAGATTTGTTGGTGCTATATACAGAGTATGTGGATAATTACTAGTGAGGTAGTCTTGTGGTTGAGTATTTTCATTTGGGATTTTGCTTGCTAGTTTTGATCCTAGAAGACATTAAGTTTCTTGGCAATGTCTGTAGGCTGTATGTATGGTTCGTCTGGTTTCGCTAAGTTAATCTATTTCTAGACAGTTTTCTCAAGCCCATAATTTCAGAGGAAGTTTTCCAGGTATTTTTCATATCACCTTTTATTTCATTAAATTTGTTAACATAATACATTTGTTTGGACTTCCATATTAGATTAGTAAGTATTGAAGTGTATTGTTTTATTATAATGTTCTTTTGTTATTAAGCCCTGTCTGAATTGTTTTTCATGTAGATGTTTTTTTTTTTTTTGATGGATTTGAGTACATGTGTACTATTTGTAAGCCAGGGGCTGCTATTTAGTCTTTCCTGAGATCTGCTTTATTTTTATTGGACAATGTCTATTATAGAGGCTATGGGTTTTGTGTAGGAATATTTTGACACATTCACCAATGTCATGGCTGTCCACTAACTCACCCAGCCAGTCAGTGTTACATAAGGCAGTAATAAAATTATTTACTAATGGATAATGCATTAAAATGTTTGAAGAGAACAAAACTATCCTTTTCTAAAATAATTATTAATTGCATACACCATCATCTGAGCTTCATTGAACATAGTGCAGTGCTTTACCCAAAGGCAGATGAGCCCACTCTACAACACTGATGGCCTCGCTTGTAATTGGTGTACGAAAATCCAGACTTCAACCGTCTGTTGCCACATGTTTCACTGATTGAAAGTTTGTCCTGCAGCTGGTGTCATAACTTTCCAAGTAGGCTGTGCATGTTCCTCTGTTAAAGAGCCATTCATTTGTCTTTACCTTGCAGATGCAGAATTACTAGTTGAATACTGTACCAAACTTTTAATTGACTCATTCCTCATTCTCTCCAATAATATCTTATGGACAAAAGTACATAGAAGACTTTAGACTGTTTCTACTGTGGCCATACTCTTTGACTACAAATTGCAAGTGATTTGTTGATGTATCAAGCACATTCTCAAAGAACACTATGCTTCTTGAATGTGATTTGATACATTCTCAATGAACACTGCTCCTTGAGAATGTGATTGATAAATTCTCAAGGAATACTTTGTTCTTTGAGAATATGAATGATACATTCTCATGTACTTCCTTAAGGTGACTGATACATACACAAGATGCTTACAATTTTTTTTTTTTTTCACTGTATTAATATTGCATGCATGTTTTTATTTATTATGGAATCTTTGTAGCTGAAGAAGTATTAAGTTATTATTTGTTCAAAAGAAAACCACCACATAGTCAGATTCCTTTACTTTGCAGGAATATTTCAAATGAGACATATCTGCTTGATGCAGGAAACATTAGAATATTTTCTAGAAATAAATGTCATTTTCAATTTTAAATTCAATGTTTAATTACAGTATTGTTTAAAATCTATAACTTTTAAGTTGGTGTACAACACTGTAACTGTTTAAAATTCTCCACTTTATTGATAAGCTAAGAATTTTAGTGGATTTCTTTTTTTATTATTGAGCTATTAGGTAATACAGTACTTAGTTCTCAGTCAAGTGCTCCTTGGCTTGCATTTTTTCAAATGGTATAGTGTTGAAGGTTTTCCAGTATGCTTGTTTTCTGCACCTGGTATTGGCACTGAGATCTTCCACACACAAGACTCGCTTTAAAAATTGGTGTAGCAGAGGCATGGAGATGATTATAGTAATTTTTTATTTATTATCACACCGGCCGATTCCCACCAAGGCAGGGTGGCCCGAAAAAGAAAAACTTTCACCATCATTCACTCCATCACTGTCTTGCCAGAAGGGTGCTTTACACTACAGTTTCTAAACTGCAACATTAACACCCCTCCTTCAGAGTGCAGGCACTGTACTTCCCATCTCCAGGACTCAAGTCCGGCCTGCCGGTTTCCCTGAATCCCTTCATAAATGTTACTTTGCTCACACTCCAACAGCACGTCAAATATTAAAAAACCATTTGTCTCCATTCACCCTATCAAACACGCTCACGCCCTGCCTGCTGGAAGTCCAAGCCCCTCGCACACAAAACCTCCTTTACCCCCTCCCTCCAACCCTTCCTAGCCGACCCCTACCCCGCCCCTTCCTTCCACTACAGACTGATACACTCTTGAAGTCATTCTGTTTCGCTCCATTTTCTCTACATGTCCGAACCACCTCAACAACCCTTCCTCACCCTCTGGACAACAGTTTTGGTAATCCCGCACCTCCTCCTAACTTCCAAACTACGAAATTTTCTGCATTATATTCACACCACACATTGCCCTCAGACATGACATCTCCACTGCCCCCAGCCTTTCCCCGCTGCCCAAAATTCATCACCCACGCTTCACACCCATATAAGAGCGTTGGTAAACTATACTCTCATAAAATTCCCCTCTTTGCCTCCAAGGACAAAGTTCTTTGTCTCCCAGACTCCTAAGTGCACCACTCACCTTTTTCCCTCACAATTCTATGATTCACCTCATCTTTCAAAGACCCATCCGCTGACACATCCACTCCCAAATATCTGAATACGTTCACCTCCTCCATACTCTCTCCCTCCAATCTGATATTCAATCTTTCATCACCTAATCTTTTGTTATCCTCATAACCTTACTCTTTCCTGTATTCACCTTTAATTTTCTTCTTTTGCACACCCTACCAAATTCATCCACCAATCTCTGCAACTTCTCTTCAGAATCTCCCAAGAGCAGAGTGTCATCAGCAAAGAGCAGCTGTGACAACTCCCACTTTGTGTGTGATTCTTTATCTTTTAACTCCACGCCTCTTGCCAAGACCCTCGCATTTACTTCTCTTACAACCCCATCTATAAATATATTAAACAACCACGGTGACATCACACATCCTTGTCTAAGGCCTACTTTTACTGGGAAAAAATTTCCCTCTTTCCTACATACTCTAACTTGAGCCTCACTATCCTCGTAAAAACTCTTCACTGCTTTCAGTAACCTACCTCCTACACCATACACTTGCAACATCTGCCACATTGCCCCCTATCCACCCTGTCATACGCCTTTTCCAAATCCATAAATGCCACAAGACCTCTTTAGCCTTATCTAAATACTGTTCACTTATATGTTTCACTGTAAACACCTGGTCCACACACCCCCTACCTTTCCTAAAGCCTCCTTGTTCATCTGCTATCCTATTCTCCGTCTTACTCTTAATTCTTTCAATTATAACTCTACCATACACTTTACCAGGTACACTCAACAGACTTATCCCCCTATAATTTTTGCACTCTCTTTTATCCCCTTTGCCTTTATACAAAGGAACTATGCATGCTCTCTGCCAATCCTAGGTACCTTACCCTCTTCCATACATTTATTAAACAATTGCACCAACCACTCCAAACTATATCCCCACCTGCTTTTAACATTTCTATCTTTATCCCCTCAATCCCGGCTGCCTTACCCCCTTTCATTTTACCTACTGCCTCACGAACTTCCCCCACACTCACAACTGGCTCTTCCTCACTCCTACAAGATGTTATTCCTCCTTGCCCTATACACGAAATCACAGCTTCCCTATCTTCATCAACATTTAACAATTCCTCAAAATATTCCTTCCATCTTCCCAATACCTCTAACTCTCCATTTAATAACTCTCCTCTCCTATTTTTAACTGACAAATCCATTTGTTCTCTAGGCTTTCTTAACTTGTTAATCTCACTCCAAAACTTTTTCTTATTTTCAACAAAATTTGTTGATAACATCTCACCCACTCTCTCATTTGCTCTCTTTTTACATTGCTTCACCACTCTCTTAACCTCTCTCTTTTTCTCCATATACTCTTCCCTCCTTGCATCACTTCTACTTTGTAAAAATTATATTATAGTAATATCACACTATAAAGTTCGTAGAGTTTTCATGAGAAATTCTAATTGAACTTTTTTTCACAATCGTTTGAGTTAATGGTAGGCTTTATGTATTTATTTACTGAAGCTTAGCAATTATGTATAGCTTGCTGCAGCCAGTGGAGCTGGGCTGCCCACTCACCCATAGTTAATGTTCTGGTAGCAGAGAAAACTTGTGATATGTACACTTAACATCTACACACTATGGACACTTGTATATACCATTGTATGGACATTTTTGAAGTTTGAACTGGTGTGTATGTAGCAGAAAATAATAGTGTTGTGTATTACAGGTCAAGTATCACAATAATGAAGCACAGTTCACCCATGCCTTCTCATAATTCTTAAGTAGCCTGTAAATGCTTGAAATGATTGTCTGTCGTCTATATGTTTGGGGTATCTCCAAAATAACTAGAACCTCAGGGTGCCTCTTTTTCTTTTGTCCATAATTTGTTGAGATAACATTATTAGGAACTTGATGTTGACAAAGATACATCAAAATATAAAATATCATTGAAATACCATACATGATGCAGTACTGTAATATAATTGTAGGAAGCAACTTTTTACCTCTCAATAAAAGGTACATTGTTTAAAGAATTAAAGACTTGAAACCAAATTCAGTGACTGATGGTAGACAAACTGGAACTGAAATACTAAACTATAAATCTAAGCCAGCAGTAGTATGGTATACATGCTTAAACATATATGATTTGTACTTTTTGAAGTAACTTGCACATATATGGTTCCCAGGGTGGAAGTGTATATATTGTGACTGTTGTGCAAGTTACACATTCATATCATTGCTAAAAATATTACAATAAATTTCAGATTTGTTCCTAATTGTTGGATATATGGTAATTTCTTAAATATGTTCTTACCATCAGTCTAGAAATAATGCAGGTGCCATTGATACAGTACATGCATAGCTGATTTGTGTCAACAGATATTGTCAGAATTATAGATTTATTACCATTATATAGTGCATCAGAGGGCTTGTTGACATTTAGGTATAATCTTATTTAGACCATGTG